CATTTCAATATTATATATATATATATTTTTTTTTAATTTCAATTTTCCTCATTATTTAGAAATATTTCCATTTTTTTTTTAAATATAATTTTTATTTTAAAAACCACATTTGCAGTTTATTTTTTTTTCTTCCATAAAATTTTTTTTTCCTTTTTTTATTTCACTGCACCATTTTTATATTTTTCATGGACGCTTTTATGTACCAATATTTGTTAAATATTATTATTTTTTTTTTCGTTGATGAAAATGTACACATTTTTTTTTAATACTGTTTCACAATTATATATAATAAATTAATTTATCACCATTGTTCTATTTTAGATTCTTTTTTAATTAACAAAAAGAAAGAAAAAAAAATTAAAATAATAAATTATTTAAAAAAATCTACTATTTTTTTTTTATAAAAGCACTTTTAGTTTTTAATACCTGAAAAATGAAATAGATTTTTATTTTGTGTCTTGAATAATAAAAATATCGTTAACTTTTTTTTTTTTTTTTTGTTTTTTTTTAATTATGAAAAATAATCTTACCCAGAGCCCCATCGTATCACAGCTAAAAATTTGCATAAAGACAATTTTGAGCGATCTTTTCGCGAGAGGTGATGGTTTCAAAGGTTAATTAAATATATATATATATGTAGGTGACGTACAACTTTTTTTTTTATTTGCGAGAAAATAATATTTAATTTTTTAAATATAACTTGAAAGGATGTACATGTGTTGAATATTAAAAAAAAACTTCTTTTCGAAAGAAAATAAAATAAATAATCATAGAAAATTAAAACAAAAACAAAAAAAAAATTATAAAAAATTTAAAAAAAGTTATTAAAAATTTTTAAAATATAATACCTAAAAAATGAAAAAGTTTTTTTTAAAATTCTTTTAGAAAGAAAATAATCATTGAAAAGTAAAACAAAAAAAAATTTTTTTTTAATTTTTTTAAAATTTTTAAAAAAGAATAAAAAAATTAGAGAACATTTTTAGAAAAAACTTCTTTTCAAAATAAAATAAATTAAATAATCATATAAAATTAAAACAAAATAGTTAAAAATAAAAAAAAAATAATTAAAATTTAGAGAAAATAAAAAAAAATTAATAAAATATAAAAGAAATTTAAAAAAAGGAAATAAAAATAATAATTAATTGTAAAAAAAAAGTTAATAAATAAAAATAAAAGAACAGAAAGAAAGAAGGAGAGAAAAGGAAGGAGAAATAAACAAGCTGGTACGCCACCCCTCGTTAAAAAAGGGTCAGTGTAAAAAAGAGAAAAAATTCGAGTGACCCATAAATCCCATTCACCTTATCGATTGTCAACTGAAAAAAAGGAAAAAATTGAAACTTATGGGACACTCTGTTAAACAGGAAAGAGAAATAGATAAGAGATAGAAAGAGTAAGAGAGAGTAAGAGAGAGAGAGAGAGAGAGAGAGAGAGAGAGAAGTAGTGTATGAGTGAAATGAGTTCCAACATGTTATTTCGTATTCCTTTTTTGATTTTTTTTCACTCTTCTTTTTTTTTTTTTTTTTTTTTTTTTGTTTTGCCTGTTTCATTTTTTTTCGAAATCTTATTCTCATAAGTGGAATAATAATTGTGTCTTCAAACGTTGATTTTTTTTCTCCTGAAATTGAAAAAAAAATTTGTAACTTATGCATTTTCATGCAAGCGGTGCGTTCGTTCGATATAGAATTTCACATGCAATTTGGTGCTCGATCTAATATTCAGGTCATTTTTCACCCCCACACAGTCATTCCGCGATCTCACGTCAAGACCATAGTGAAAATATATTTATGCGAGTGATCACTAAAAATTAAGAGGAAAACTTTTTTTTTTTTTTTAATATATACATAGGGGCCAATTTTCTTTCTTTTCATTTTTGTTCAAATTTTATATTTAAAAAAAAAAAAAAATATTAAAAAATAAACTTTCACAGTGAAAAAAGAACCACTTCTTTAAAAAAATATTTTTTATTGACAAATTTAGAAGAAAAAAGTGCATTCAAATCGATTTTCGGATTGAGAGATTCATTTTTGAAAAAAAATTTCAATTTGGCTCAGCGACAAAGTACTGGACATCTGAATTTTATGGCCAGGGTTCGATTCTTCTTGGAGTTGAATTTTTTTTTCATTATTAAAATTTTTTTATAATTATAATATCAAAATAATAATATTAGTTATTATAAATATAAATAATATAATATAAATAATACTTTAGTACACTTGTACGAAAGGGCATTGCCCGTATATATGTAAATAAATAAATAAATAAATAATAAATATAATAATTGTAATAAAATAATTCGTTAAATTTTATTTTATTGCAAAATGATTATTAGAAATAATAAAATTAAAAATAGTGAAATTTAGATTATAAATTGTTTTAAATTTTAAGCTTAGGTTATGTTTGAGGTTAGATTACACAAGAATTGAGGTTAGTTTAGTAGCATGACTATATTTACAATTCAAATTTTGGTGTATAACTAATGAAGAAAATTAAAAAAAAAAATTTATCTTCAGGAAGAATTGAACCCTGGCCATAAAATCCAGATGTCCAGTACTTTGTCACTGAGCCAAATTGACAATTTTTTTCCAAAATGAAACTATCAATCCCAAAATCGATTTTAATGCATTTTTTTCTTCTAAATTTGTCAATAAAAAAATCTTTTTATCTTTCTATATTTACTCAAAGGTTAATTTTTTTTTATTTTTACTCTTTTTTTATCATGTTTTCTTTTCTTTAGCAAATTTTGTAATTTTTTTTAATTACTTTTCAAATTTTCTTTTCGCTTAAAAAAAAATTTTTATTTTCATTTTCTTATTCAATTTATAATTTTTTTCACCCAATAAAAAATATTTTCAAATACTTTTTTTAAAATAAAATTCAGGTAAAAAAAATTATTCTCAACTTATTTCATTTTCTTCCTCCCCTTCTTCTTTTTTTCATAATTAATATTTTTCACCGGTTAATTAAATCTCAATATGAAAAATGTGGCACATCTTTTTTTTTTTGTTGATGAAAATTTTGTGTCAGTTTTTTTTTTGCACACAACTTATTTGAAAAATTTCAAAATCTTAAACGCGTACGTGAAAATTAATAATTCACAAGTGTCGAGTTCTGAAAAGTGTTTAATTAAAAAAATGTTGAATGAGTTCTTTCATTTTTTTTTTATGACCGAGGATGAAGGTATATATACATATATGATACGCGGTTTGAATTTTATCGAGGGAAAAAAAATTTATTTTTTTTTCTTTTTTATATAGGAGAGATGAAGGAAGAATGCGTGCATGTGCAAAGTTGGTGATCTGGTGAGTAAATTCCTAAGCTTGCTTCATAACTCTCTCGTGTATGTACAGAGACTTGGTGATTATTATTCCTAACGATTCACAAGATGGTGAAACGAAAATAGTGACTGGCAAATACGACTCCTCATTTTTTTTTCAAAAAAAAAAAAGAGAAAAAATAAAAAAAAATCTAAATAATTTTCTCATATCACAATTTTTTGCATGCATAAATAATTGTTAATTTAAATGAAAAATAAAAATGAAAATCATAACTTATAACAAGTTTAATTTAAATGAAAATTTTTTTAATTATCAACAAAAATTTAAATGTATTGTTTATATCCTGGTTAAATATTGGCTCAATATTGGCGCAAAGTTTGGAGCATTATTATCATTATTTATACTTCTGTCTAACTTAGCTTAAAAATGGCAAAATTAGCGTAAGTTATTTTAAAACTGGCTTAAACTTGGCGTTGTTTTAAACCAATTTAGTTAGAACTGGCTCAATGTTGTCACAAATATTATGTCAAAATTTGTTTATATTTCAAAGAAATTATATTAATATTGATGCAAAATTTTAAACTAAATTTGGGCCAAACATGGCTCTATCCTGGCTCTATCTTGGCTCAATATTGGCGTAAAGTTTGTAGCGTTATTATTATAATATATTACCGCCTAACTTTGATTAAAATTGTCAAAATTGGCTTAAGTGACCTTAAAACTGGCTCAAACTTGGCGCTGATTTCTAACCACTTTAGTTAAACCTGGCTCTATATTGGCAAAAATATTAAATCAATATTTGTCTATATTTTTTTAAAAAAAGTTGTAATATTAATGCAAAATTTTAAACCAACATTGGGCCAAACTTGGCTCTATCATGGTTCAAAGGTTTTGGACAAATATAGATGCAGAACTTGAATTAAAAATCAGATAAATACTTTATAAACGTTAAATTAATGTGCTAACTTGAGCCAAACTTGGCCTAAAACTGGCGCTAAGGTTTTGCCAATATAGTAAATTTAGTTAGTTAGTTTTAGTACCTGTAAGATCAATATGTAATTCAAACCACATTTGGTCAAATAGGTCAAACCCGGCCCAATCCTGGCATAAAATTATAACCACTTTTTTAGATTGTTTATCAAATCTGTATCGAAATTTAATTTATAAAAAAAAAAATTCAAATTAGTTTTAAACTTGAGCCAGACCTGGTTTTATTTTGGCGTAAATTTTTCGATCAAACATGGCTCAGTACTGGCAAAAAATGTGACTAGAACTCTAATTTTCTGCTAAACGGCGTACAGTTTTGATTATTTAATGCTTCAAACCTGGCTAAATATTGACACAAAAATTAAGACAACATTGAACACTTATCTTGGTTCAACATTGGCTAAATCTTGGCGACAATAAAAATCATTGTACAAAACGTATACTCGGACAAATTTTATACCAATATTGATAAAAAAAATTAAATTCATTGTGCAAATAATTAAAATTAATCCTGGCTCAATACTGGCCAGTGGATTTTGCTACGAGAGGTGAAGTGTTGTCAGAGGGAAGAGGGATTGGTGCGCATCGCTTCTCGCTAAAAGCTATATATAAAGTTCGCGTGAATTAGCCAATCAGGTGCGTGTTAGTGAATATAACGGCCGGCCAATCAGCGAGCCAGGGAGCTATTCTCCGAGAGGATGGCTCTCACTTGAGAAAGCTGCGGATACTGGAGCTTACCAAGTGGGACTCTGGGCTGGTAAAGGTGACCACGGCGCCGTGAAGTCGCCTTGCGTTCACTGTTGCCGATGCCTGTGTTCAATTATAATTTTTAGAAATTCAATCATTTTTTTTAATTCCAAAGCGATATTCTACTTTTCTACTAGTAAGCATTTTTTCAAAAAAAAAATTTTTTTATTCATTTTTTTTTAACAGGAAAACAAGGACATTTTTCTCATTAGATAAATTTAATATATAAAAATATAAATACAGGGAAAAAAAACTTTACCTTAAACAGCGATAAGTTTCACTGGAACAACGATATATTTTACTAAAATAGAGAAAGTTTTCGCTATTCTAGAAAAATGTATAGCTGTTCCAGATAAAGATTTTTTTTCCGTGTATAAAATATACAATATATAATATACAATGTATAATATATAATATATATATATATATATAGCATTTCATATATAATTTATAAAATGCTGTAAATTTCTAGTTTCTTATACAAACTTAAAAATTGAATAATATTCTAATAATAAAGATCACTCATGGATAATATGTTAATTATTTAAATGTCTGGATATATTTTGAAAATTTAAATGAATTCCCATTTTACTCCAGACACATTAAATATTGATATATAAATTTGTAATTTGTACAAAATGAATGAAAACTAATTTCTAAAATTACAAATTGATAAAAATTATAAAAAAAAATTTTTATTTATTATAAAATTTTATACATTTTTTTTTAATTTTTCAAATTTTCTTACAAAAAATAGGAAATAAAATTATATCAAGTACCAGAACTTTCCATATTATTTTATTAATCATAATAATTTTTATCACACTCTTTTTAATTTTTTGCTGAAAGAAAATTTCTTGGGGTCATTTAATTAATTAAATTGTACAAAAATGTGTGTCACTATTATGGAAAATAATTGTAAATTCACATTTTTCTCCTCTTTTTTTTTTTTTTTTTCTTTTTGAAATATGAAATTAAATTATATTTATTTTTTGATGTAAATCGATCTTTTTAAACAAAAATAAAATAGAAAATTTTTTTTAACAAATATTTTTAAAAAATAAACTGAATTTTTTTTTAATAAAAATTATTGTTAATATATTATGTAGATGACATTTATTGAATTGTATCAAATTAAAAAAAAAATTTTTTATTTTTTTCAATAAATTTGATGTATTTTAACCAATAGACTGTAAAATTAACCAGAGTATTATATATATATATATATATATATATATATATATTTATGTATATAAAACGAATTTATCAGGAAACCAACAAACTATTAATCAAAGTCATCAATATTAAAATTTCAAATACGCAATCAAACAAGACATTTAATACCTTCGAGGCATATATGAGCAATAAATTAAAAATGAAAACTGCATTCAAAACGAATTACGCGAGGGTACATATATGGTGGGGGTTAAATTCGATATCGTATTATATGTGAGAGGAAACTTTAGATATTCTCACTATACACTCGTTTATATTATTTCCAAATTTTATTTTTTCTCATTCCTATCTTTTTGTCACATTTTTTGTTTTTCATTTTCGATATATTTAACTTGATGTAAAAAAAAAACCCTAAAAAACCACTTTTTAAAAAAAGTAAAAAAAAAACTTTTTTTAAATTTAAAAATCCTTTTTTAAATTAATAGAACCTTTTTTTAAACTAAAAAAAACTTTTTTTTGAATTAAAAAACCTTTTATAAAAAAATTTACAAATATTAATTTTTGTTTTATTTAAATTAAAAAATTAATTAAAAGAAAATAGTTTTTACTAAACCTATGAATATTTGAATTTCCAAAAAAAAAAGAAAAGAAAACAAAAAACTGATACGTCGATCAGCAATGCCCTGTAAATTTTTATTGAATTGCCCTCCTCCCAATATATATACATATATATATACGATGAGCGATTTTTACATGTTATTTTTCTTTTCTTCTTTCTTTTTTTACGGCATTTTTATCGAAATCGGGCTCAAGTGGTGCTTGAGTTAATGTCAGTTCATGCCGACAACGATCGAGAGCAAAAAAGTTTAATTCACCCTCGAACATAAAACGAGGCGTCCTCGGTCAACGCTCTTTGATTAAACGATTATTTTCAGTTAAAAAAAAAAAAAAATAACAGAGGAAAAATGTGCAAAAAGAAAAACAAAAAAAAACCTCGAATACCTTTTGTTAAAAGAAAATTCTATGTAAAAATGAAACGATTTTTAATGTTTCAATAGGCGAGAAATTATTTTTTTTTTTTTTTTTTTTTTTAAATAATGATGAAGTCACAACAAATATTTTTTTAGACTTGTAATCGAAAAATAATAAATTATTTATACACGGAGAAAAATATAAAAATGAATAAAGTAATTTTTACTACTTTCATAGTAAAATGGGATCTGTCCGAAGTTTCTGCGCATCTATGGCAACTTTTACTCCAAAAATAGTAAAATTTGCTCCAGAAATAGTAAAATTTACTCCAGAAATAGTAAAAATTATTACAAAAATAGTAAATTTTACTATTTTTTGAGTAAAAGTTGCCAGAGATGCGCAGAAACTTCGGACAGGTCCAATTTTACTATGAAAGTAGTAAAAATTACTTTTTCTTTTTTTCCGTGTAATTGTAAAAAATGTTATTTTGTAATTATAATTAAAAATTAATATTTGACACAGCACGGGAAAAGGGACCTTATGGTATAAATTTTAAAGGTTATGTTTGTGATTTTTAAAGTGAAAATACACTTTTTATCAAAGGTAAAACTATCACCAAACATAACCTACAATTTTTAATTTGTCCATAAATTTTTATTTTGTACGCATTTTTAATTGATAGAATTTTTGCTACACCGAATTTTCATTTGTCCGAAATTACAAATTGACCGAACAAAGAATTAACAAAAAAATTACGGCGTAATTTTCAAAAATTGACCAATTAGAAATTATCAAGAAAATCGTGATTAGTCAATTTTTGAAAATTGCGCCGAAATTTTTCTGTCGTTTGTTTGTTTGGTTAATTTTTAATTTCGGACAAAAGAAAATTCGGCTAAATTAAAATTCGGTGAATTGGAATTAGGTAAAAATTCGTGATCCAAAAATTCGTAAAAAAAAGAAAATCTATCAAATTTTAATTCGAAAATTTGTCTTTAAATAATTATTTCTAATAAAATTCTTTAAATTAAAAATTTTAATTAATGATTTGTATGACAAATTCATGCGCCCCAATTATTATATATAACAAATTTTTTAAAATTACTAAAATTTTAGTGAAAAATAAAGCGAGAGAGAGATGTTTTTTTAAAAACCAATTTCAGTAGAGAAATTGTAATCTTTTTAGGAAAAAAAAAGTTTTCTCGATAAAAATTGGCGCAAGAGAAGGAGAGAGAGAGAGATATTTGACGATCGAAACTTTTTTATAAAATAATAAATGACTGGGATCGGCTCCTTAATTGAAAGTGTCAGCGTCGTTTATTAGGAAAGACGTCGAATTGGCAGTTTGCACGGTAGACGCGTGTCCCGGCATTAAAGTTGTACCATGAATAGCGCTCGAGAACGAGAGAGCAAGACAGAGAGAGAGAGAGAGAGAGAGAGAAGGTTTCGGGCGATTGAAAATGTAAAACTTCTGCATATCGTTAACGCTGCATAACGTGCGGCGAAACTTTGTACTAATAGATGAGAAGCACGAGCTCACCTTATTGCGAAACTTAATTCATAAAGGCGTCGGTAGATGAGACCCGATGAGAAATGATTCTCAACTTGAACAAAAACTTACCATCCCCCCACTTTTTATCTTTTATACAGACATATATATATATATATATTAATTTGATAAGGGGACAAAACAAAAGTTCAGTATTTATATAAATACTTCATTAATAATCGATAGAAAAATTAACAAAATTAAAGATTAAATGAAAATTAAAATTAAAAACAAATTAAAAATCTTTTTTGTTTTGAATTTTTTAATAAAAATTATAGATAAATATTAAAAAAAAATTGTTAGTTTCATTTTTAAATTTTCCATTTACAATTTTTGAAAATTTACATCAAATTCGTAATCAGCGACCCCGAAAACCCCTGAGTAACCAGTTTTAAGCGAATTCGAGCATTTTTTAAAAAATTGTCCGCCATATTGGATCCACCATTTTGTATTTTGCAAAAATGGTATCAGATTCGTAATCAGCGATCCCCAAAACCCCCGAGTAACCATTATTAAGCAAATTTGAGCAAATTTTTAAGAAATTGTCCGCCATATTGGATCCGCCATTTTGTATTTTGCAAAAATGATATCATTTTTGCAATCAGTGACTCCCAAAACCCACGGGTAACCATTTTTAAGCGAATTTGGGCAAATTTTAAATAAATTGTCCGCCATATTGGATCCACCATTTTGTATTTTGCAAAAATGGTTTCAGACTCGTAATCAGCGACCCCAAAAAACCCCCGAGTAATCTGTTTCAAGCGAATTTAAACAAATTTTACACAATCGACCGCCATATTTGATACGCTGTGTTAAATTTTCAAAATCTTTTCGTTAGAAAGTATTTTTAAAAAATTCAACGTTTTTTGGATTACTTAAATTCCGTATGGCGGATCCAAAATTGCATCAAAATTCTAAAAAAGAAATAAATCCAATTATCATTGTACTTGATATCAAGGGATTTTTGAGGTCGCTCATCACGAATTTGAACTAGGTTTTTCAAAATTTCTTATGGCGGATCCAAAACGGCGCCTAAATTTTCAAAAAATAATTTCAATTATTATTGTACTTGACATCGAGGGGTTTTTGTGGTCGCTGATTTCGAATTTGAACTCAGTTTTTCAAAATTTTTATCGGCAGATCCAAAATAGCGACAAAATTTTCAAAAAAAATATCTAAACATCATTGTACTTGATATCGAGGGGTTTTTGAGGTCGCTGATCACGAATTTGAACTTGGTTTTTCAAAATTTCTTATGGCAAATCCAAAATGGCGCCTAAATTTTCAAAAAATATTTCCAATTATCATTGTACTTGACATCGAGGGGTTTTTGGGGTCGCAGATCACGAATTTGTACTCAGTTTTTCAA